CTGGCCGTGGGCAGCCAGTACCCCTCACCAAGGAACTTGTCACATCCTACGCCCTCGACCTGCTAACTGGTGAGATGCGTTCGGGTGTTAAACAACCTTGTCTTGTTCTTGTTCTTGTTGGTCTCGTTACTTCTCCTCCCCCTTCTCCTCCTCCTCCTCCTTCTTCTTCTTCTTCTTCTTCTTTAGTTTAGGAAGAGTTTTACGGCGCTCGCAACTGCAAAAGGTCATATTATGAACGCGCGAAACACAGGTCTATTGCATTCACAACAGTGGTAGAAGCATTTTCGTTTTTGTTGCCATTGTTGTTGTTATTGTCATTATAGTTCCCGCTACAAATTGATTTAATTTTCAGACAATACTCCTTGGCTTAATGCCTCGACAGTCTGCACATTCCCGGCTCCTTGGCTCCCTCCATCTGGACGCAGCTCTCCACAAACAACGACCCCAGTCCCTCCGACACCCCCTATAATTGGGAGAAGTGTAGATGGAGGAATCTTGACCGACGCTCACAAGCTGGACTTTGACTTTGACTTCCCCGATCATGGCCGACTCGACCCCCGTACATACAATATTCACAGCGGTGACAGATCCCGGAAAGCGAAGCTTGAAGGAGGTCATGTTGACATCAAAAGGAATGTTGTCATTTCTGAAAGATATTCGAGACAAGGGTTAACTGGAGCTAAGTCTTTTCTGAACATTTACGAGGGCACCTACTCTCATCCGGCGTTTGGAGATTTTTATATCAAGATGGAAGGGGACAAACTTCGCTACCACTACGGGACCTTACTGAAAGGAGAGCTAACCCCAACAGGTAAATTATAATCTGATTTGTCAACAACACACGGTGCTTGTTACGTTCACTGCTATAGTGGATGAATGTCAGTGTGTTTATTAGAGTACGATAGAGGTGGTTAGAGGGCGTTGCGGATGGGTCGTACTTTTTGTTTTCCCTCTGTATGTCTGTCCTGCGTCTTCCCTGCGCTATGCGACCGTTAAATGTATTGTGTCGCCGTGCTTCTATTTACTACCCCTCCCCCCACCCCCACAAAAAACCCCAAAAACCAGCAGCAACAACAATAACAACAATTTTCAATTAGAGTACACATACAAATATGACTGAATCAATGGCACTTTATGGGTAGTTTATATTTCAGAATTTTAGTTATGATTCAGCTCTTTTTTTTCTTTCTGGACAATTGAACCTGGCCTGTATAAGGGCCTTTATCCAGTACTCTATTACCGTTGGTGCTTTCATCGGTTTCGTAATGGAAAATCATAGTTCTGCTACTATTTTTAGAGTTCATCATTTCGCTTTCTTCAAGTGCATATTACTATATGGCGTCGTATGAACTCATCTTAATCTTGAATGTTTTAGAAAATGAAATTTCATAACCCAGTGTGTCGACATTTCTAAATCAGAAAACAGGTAGCGAAAGTAAATAATAAGAAGTAATTAATTATATAGGCTGCTGTTTGCAACCTTAAGCTTAATAATAATATTCTTCTTTATTTTCAGCCCAGCCTGGCGAATTTCTCCAGAACTTTGACTACCCGTGGGAGCCTCTGGACGAACTGTCGGCCGTCGTTCCAGTTCTGTTCAAGGCCGTGGGTGAACCTGGGAAATCTATGGCGGCAGTCATTTACTTCTTGGAACCCACCTACCCACCAACCTTCTACCGGGCCTAGGGCAGTGTCCAGTGTCCAGTACAGCGGGGGAGAGGAGATCAACTGAGAGGACAGGAGATAGAATGTAATAGGGGGGAGAAAAATAGAAGAGAAAAGAGGAGAGTTTGACAGTGTAGAATAGAGTTGAGTGGAGTGGATCGAGAGGGAACAGAAGAGTAGAATGGAGACTACATGATACGAAATTAGAATAAAGGGGGATGACCTGATATTTGAAACCACAAGTTTTGTAAACCTTTGTATCTCAGCATAACAATTTCTCGAGAAAAACCCTGGCTTTTGGCATCTAAATTACGTTAGCACTTACACAATCTACTTCTACACCTACTGTGGCCTTGGAGAAAAAGGTGAATATTATTTAATGGCAGAAAGAC